TAAACCCTAAACCCTAAACCAAGCCGTAAATCGCATACCAACTCTAAACCCTACACTAAACCCTAAACCCTACACAGAACCCTAAACCCTAGGCCCTGGACCTTTGATCTAGTGCCTGGAGAAAAGAGACCGCTGTCTGGTCATCGATGCTTGGAGCCCTAGGGTTTAGGGTTTAGGGTTTAGGGTTTAGGGTTTAGCGCCAGGCTGCTCTCCACGTTTATCTTCTCAATGTCTTGTTGAAAAAAAACACTTTTAAACAAAACAGCTTTTAAATATGAGCCAACGGACACCTTGTGTGGGGCCCGACATGCGGGGCCGCGGCGGCAGCAGCAGCAGCAGCAGCAGCAACAACTGCAGCAGTAGCAGCAGCAGCAGCAACAGCACATGTACTGCTTGCTAGCAGCAGCAACAGCAGCAGCAACAACAATAGAACAAACCTCTTTAGTTCCACTCTATCATTTTCCCCGCGCTGACTCGCCGCAGGGCCCCCCGGCTCGCAGCACATCTCAACTGCAGCAGCAGCAGCAGCAGCAGCAGCAGCAGCAACAGCTGCAGCGGCAACAAGGACAGCAGCAACAACAGTAACCCCAGCAGCAGCAGCAGCAGCAGCAACTACTGGGAAAACAGCAGCAACTGAAGTGAGTTGCCTTCGTCAGTATGTAGAGCTAGCTGACGGAGCAACTTGAGGCAGCAGCGCGTCTTCTGCTGCTGCAGCAGCAGCAGCAGCAGTTCTTCTGCTGTTGGTGCTGCTGCTGCAGCTGCTGCTGCTGCTGCTGCTGCTGCTGCTGCTGCTGCTGTGTGCATTGTTGAGGAAGCCCTCTGCCACCCAGCGCCGGCCCGACTATGAATGCCGTTAAGCCAGGGCAGCCGTTGCAGCGAAACAGCAGCAGCAGCAGCAGCAACAGCAGCAGCAGCAGCAGCAGCAGCGCGAAAGACACCAAGAGTGGCAGCAGGAGCATCACCCGGTGCAGCAGCAGGAGCAGCACCAGGAGCAGCAGCAAGAGCAGCGACACGTGCTGCAACAGCAGCAGGAGTCGCAGCAAGATCCGCAACCGCAGCAGCCACAGCAGCAGCAGCAGCAGCAGCAGAAGCAGCAGCAGGAGCAGCAGCAGGAGCAGCAGGAGCAGCAGCAGCGACATCTCAATCTCTGGCCCCCCCCCCTTCATTGCGCATTCCTCTCAGCCTCGATTTCTGCAGTCTGTAAGAAGAGAAGCTGGAGCCCCAGCGCCTTCATCTCAAGCAGCAGCAGCAGCAGCAGCAGCAGCAGCAGCAGCAGCAGCAGCAGCACGGGCCCTGCAGCAGCTGGGCTACTGCCGCGTCCTCTCCCGCCGCCCCTGGGACTCCATCTGGGCCCATCGGCTCTCCACTATATTAGCCCGAGGCCCCACGCAGCCTCTGCTAAGGGGGCCCCCCTGGGGGGCCCCCCTCAGGGCCTGGGGGCCCCTCTGGGGGCCCCTCTGGGGGCCCCTCAGGGGGGCCCTCAGGGGGGCCCTCAGGGGGCCCCCGGGGGGCCCCCTGCGGGGGCTGGGCCTCTGGCGTCGGGGTCACCTGCTGGCCCTGGTGGGGGGCGTTGCTGCAGCAGCAGGGGCCCTCCACTTGTTTCCTTTAGGGGGGCCCCCCGTGGGCCCCCAGGGGGGCCCCCGGGGGGGCCCCCGGGGGGGCCCCCTGGGGGGCCCCCAGGAGGCCCCCTTTTCCCAGTTTTTGCTGTGGCTGCGGGCGCAGCAGCTGCGCGAAGTGACTGTGCAGCAGAGTGCAGCGGGGCAGCTGGTTTACTTCGCCTTGAGGGCCCCCGGGGGGCCCCCAGGGGGGCCCCCCGGGGGGCCCCCAGGGGGGCCCCCCGGGGAGGGGGCCCCCCGGGGGGCCCCCCTGCAGAGTGGGGGCCCCCCAGGGCCTGCGCAGCAGCTGGGGGGCCCCACAGAATTCTTCGCAAGAGTTCTGCCGGGTGCTGAGGCCCTGGTGGCGCAGCTGCTTGTCTCTGCCATCACGGGCCCTGCTGCTGCTGGGGGCTCGCTGCGAGTGCAGGTGCTGCGGGCTGGGCCGCGGGCTGCTTCTTGCAGGGCCCTGACTCTTTTGGCTGTCCTCAGTGGACTTGCTGCTCTCGCCGGTAAACCCTAAACCCTAAACCCTAAACCCTAAACCCTAAACCCTAAGTCCTTAGTCTGGCTGCGCTGCAGCGGATACTTGGTCCTGCGAAAACCCAGCCTAAACCCTAATCGGCGGAGCCTCATTTGCGAGTCCCAGACCCTGAGCTCTAAACCCTAAACCCTAAACCCTAAACCCTAAACCCTTTCTGCTGCTTGTGCCTGCTCAGTGTTTTGCTGCAAAGCCAGCTGGGGGCCCCTAAGAAGGGGGGCCCCCTCTTCAGACGTGGGGGTTTTGGGGCCCCTGAAGCCCCGCATGCTGCAGGGGCCCCTGCTGCTCACAAACCCTAAAAAAGGGTTTGCGCAGGACGCCAAACCCCCGAGGGGTTTGCTGCTTGAGGGGCCGCCAGGCACAGGTAGGCGTACTAGGGTTTAGGGTTTGAGACTGGGTTTCTAGGGTTTGGGGTTTGAGAGGGGTTTTAGGGTTTAGGGCTTGCCCGCGGGCTACAAGGGTTTAGGGTTTCAAGCTAATTGCTAGGGTTTAGAGTAGTAAACTGGTTTACGAGGGTTTAGGGTTTGAGGCGGACGCAGCAGCTTGTAGGATTTGGGGCTCCTAGGGTTTAGGGTTTCAGGCTTCCAGCAAAACCCCAGAGAAGGCCTTTTGCTGCAGGGGCTTCGGGAACGCTTGATGCCTAGGGTTTAGGGTTTAGGGTTTAGGGTTTAGGGTTTAGGGTTTGCGGTTTGTGTGCGCAGACAAGGCCCTGGTGGCACGGCGGGTCGCTGACGGGCTGGGCCTGCGCTTTTGCTGCTGCTGCTGCAGCAGCAGCAGCAGCTGCTGCTGCTGCTGCTGCTGCTTGGGGGCCCCCCAACTTAAAGAGCTGCAACAAGGGTTTGAGAAGGCAGCCAGGGGGGCCCCCTGTGCCCTTTTCATAGGCGACCTCGACTCGTTTGGGGCCCTCGGCGGCACTGGCTGTGAGTTTAGGGTTTAGGGTTTAGGGTTTAGGGTTTAGGGTTTTGGGTTTAGGGAACAGGGCGCAGGAACATTGGGAGGGCCCGCTAGGGTTTAGGCGGCAGCTGCTGCTGCTTTTAGCTGCAAGGCGAAGCAGGGAAGGCGGAGAGCTTGGGCTAGTGGTCCGCATCGAGGGTTTAGGGTTTAGGGTTTAGGGTTTAGAGTTTAGGGTTTAGGGTTTGAGTGAATGTGGCGCAGCTGGGGACTGCCAAAAGCGTGTTGAATTCCTCAAGGAGTTGCTGGCGCTAATAGATGGCCTGGAAAGGAACAACGTGTACTTTGTGCCACTGGAAGATACCAAACCCTAAACCCTAAACCCTAAACCCTAAACCCTAAACCCTATTTCCGCAGCGTGTTCCGCATTCCAACGCCTCTTGCTCCCCCGCCTGTTCCTTTTCAAGGTTCATAGAGCAGCGATCGGGGTCTAGGCTTTAGGACGTAGGCCTCACCGCTTAGGGTTTAGGGTTTAGGGTTTAGGGTTTAGGGTTTAGGGTTTAGGGTTTATGCGCAGGCCAGTGCTGGTAATGGCCGCCACCAGCCGCGTGGACTCTCTCGACGAGGCGCTGCTGAGGCCTGGCCGCTTCGAGCAAACCCTGAGCATCAGAGCAGGCCAGCGGTAGGGTTTAGGGTTTAGGGTTTAGGGTTTAGGGTTTAGGTTTTAGGGTTTAGGGTTTAGGGTTTGCAGGGGTGCGTGGGTGTTTGCTCTGCCTTTCTCTTGGCACCAGCCGTCACTCTGGCCTGCAGCTGCAGCCCCTCTTCGCAGGCCCCAAACCCCAAACCCTAAACCCTAAACCCTAAACCCTAAACCCTAAACCCTGACATGAAGTCTTCATATTGTGTAGCTTGCGTGTGGGGTCTCAGGGAGGCGCTGCTTCCTGTGCGCTTTTTTGAGGTGTCTGTACACCCTGAGGTGTCTGTACAGCAGCCAGCAGCAGCAGCAGCAGCAGCAGCAGCAGAAAGCTCGCAGGTTCCTGCTGCTGCTGGCTGCTGCAGCAAATCGGCGCTGCTGGCGGCAACAAGCAGTTTTGCTGCTGCGGGGCCCCGTGAGGCTGCTGCAGGTCTGCAGCAGCTGCAGCCGCCACACAGAGGCAAGCCTCGCCCTGCTGCTGCTGCTGCTGCTGCCGCTGCTGCTGCTGCTGCTGCTGACCCTGACCCAGGTGCTGTTGCTGCTGCTGCTGCTGCGGCGGCTGCTATGCGAGGGAGGCAGAGACGGGGAACTGCTGCTGTGAGAGCAGCAGCAGCAGCAGTGCAGCAGCAGCAGGAACTGCAGCAGTTGTAACAATGCCGCGCCGCAGCAGCAATACTCAAGAACAGCCCAGCAGCAGCTGCAGCAGCAGCAGCAGCAGCAGCAACAGCAGCAGCGGGGCAGCAGCAGATCAAGTCATCTGCGTCCAGAACAAGCAGCGCTGGGCTAGCAACGAAGCCTCTCGGTGTGCCCTAGACACAAAACCCTAAACCCTAAACCCTAAACCCTAAACCCTAAACCCTAGAGGACGTTTGCTAAGCCTAGAGGGGAGACTCTGTTTGTCTCTTTGCTGCCTTTTTGCTTCAGGGGTCTCTATTGGGTTCCCCGTTTATGGTCAGCCAAGCCTTACCTGCTGCCGCAGCAGCAGCTGCAGCAGCAAGAGCAGCAGCTGCAGCAGCAAGAGCAGCAGCTGCAGCAGCAAGAGCAGCAGCTGCAGCAGCAAGAGCAGAAGCCACGCTCCGCAGGGCTGCAGCAGGCTGAGGAGCAGCGAACCCGTAGCTAGCTAGCGAAGCAGCAGCTAGCTAGCTAGCGAGGTAGCAGCTAGCTACTCTCTCCACAGCAAGCTGGCTAGCTGGCTAGCTGCCCTGCTGGCTAGCTAGCTGCCCTGCTGGCTAGCTAGCTGCCCTGCTGGCTAGCTAGCTGCTCTGCTGGCTAGCTAGGTAGCTAGCTAACTGGCCAGCTAGCTAGCTAGCTGGCTAGCTGGCTGCTGCAGCTGGAGCTCTCCGTCTCCCCCCGGGACACTACTAGAGCTGTGGAGCTGGCTAGCTGGGCTAGCTGCCCAGCTAGCTACCTGTTGGCTAGCTGGCAGCTAGCTAGCTTGCTGCCAGCTGGCTAGCTAGCTAGCTAGCTAGCTAGCTAGCTAGCTAGGTGGCACGGCCTGGGGGGGAGCGGAAGCTGGGGGCGCAGCTGCGGCACAGTTCCTTGTAAGCCCTAAACCCTAAACCCTGATTAAGGGTTTAGGGTTCGTATTCAAGTCGTTGTGGGCCCCCGAGAGGCAGAAGAGACCTTTGGGGGCCCCATGGGGAAAGGCAGCAGAGGGTCTTTGCATGCAGCTGGTGCTGCATGTGCTGGGGTGTACGTACACCCCGAGCTGTCAAGCCTCTTCAACTGGAGGTCCATTTGATCATTTTTTTGCACAAAAATGAAATAAAAGAATATTAAATTATTCAAATAATTTACGAGAATATTAAATTATTCAAATAATCCACAATAAATATATATTTAGGGCTTTTTGAAGCAATTAAAAAGGCAAAGTTGAGTGTGGGCCTGCCTCATATATATTATTATATAATATGCATGCAGTTATATATTTATATAAAATGCATGCAGTTATATATTTATATAAAATGCATGCAGTTATATATTTATATAAAATGCATGCAGTTATATATTTATATATGTGCACTAATATATAAATATATATATTTGTATATAACACAAATATATACATTTCAGCAAAGTACAATTTGTAGACCTGCAGTTATAAAGACTTGAAGTACTTGTAAATAAATATTTATATTAAGTAAATAAGTATTTATATTAAACCAAATACTTGCACACAAAGGCCAAAGATTAACTGGCCCCCCAGAGGGGGCCCCCCGAGGGGGCCCCCTAGAGGGGGCCCTCCAGAGGGGGCCCCCAAGAGAGGGCCCCCCAGAGGGGGCCCCCCGAGAGGGCCCCCTAGAGGGGGCCCCCAAGAGGGGGCCCCCAAGAGGGGGCCCCCCAGAGGGGCCCCCCAGAGGGGCCCCACAGGGGGGCCCCACAGGGGGGCCCCACAGTTGACTTTCTTTGCATGCAGTGCCGCCTGCAAGTGCAAAAAAGCCCACTTTGGGGCTTGCATGCAAATTAAATGCAAAGTTTAACAAATGCATGCAAATTAAATGCAAAAGTAAACAAATAAATGCATGCAAATTAAATGCAAAAGTAAACAAATAAATGCATGCAAATTAAGTGCGAAAGTAAACAAATAAATGCATGCAAATTAAATGCAAAGTTTAACAAATGCATGCAAATTAAGTGCAAAAGTAAACAAATAAATGCATGCAAATTAAATGCAAAAGTAAACAAATAAATGCATGCAAATTAAATGCAAAGTTTAACAAATGCATGCAAATTAA